TAGCATGTGAGCTGAAACTGCAAGGACGAGCAGGGCCTTGCTGGCAAAGAGAGGTGGACACAAGGTGTGCACAAGGTGCTCGAGGGACAGCAGCAGGTGGGGGTGGGAGCGCACTCAGCCCCTCAAGTCTAGATTCCCCTCACCAGTGACTCAGGGCCAGTGAGACCTGTCTGTGCTCCTTGTAACATCGTGGGCAGATCGAACGGGCCAGGGTCCTACGAGGGCTCTGGGAAGGGGAGGCACAGCGTGAGTGCGGGCAGGGGGTGTTGAAGGCCGCTGTGGTTCACCCTGACCTCCGAGGAGGCCACAGCTGCTGTCTGGAATGGCCACATTCTGCAGGTGAGAGGGTTCAGGACATGCTACCCAACATACGTGACCTTGGCATCGCGAATATTTTAAGCTGATGGAACTCGAGAAGCGGCAGGTGCAGGAAGGACTCTCTGACCTTCCCCTGAAGCAGGTCTCGAGGCCCTCACGTGAGAGGTGCCCTCCTACACCTGGAGGAAGGAAGCATCCCCATCTCCAAAGACAGAGGGACAGGGACCCCAGAGGACTCTAAGCGAGCAGCCTTGCTGAGTGTCCGTCCACCCGTCCACCGCCCCGGCTTGCACCGTCGTCCGACCGCATTCTTCCACGACTCCCCCTCATCACGCCTGCGTAACAAGCTGCGGGTTAACCGCTTCTCTGGGTTTTCATCTCCTTAGGAAGGCTCCAGCTCACGTAAAACGTATATGGCCTGGATTTGTATGCTCTTCTCTTGCTAACCAGTTCCAGGGGCCCCAGCTGAGAACCCACAAAGGCAGGAGGAAAAGGTGTTTTTCCTCCCTACACAAGGAAGAATGAGCTTCACCCGTGCTGGCAGTCTGCCCCTCAGCGGGGGATGCCCCAGTCCACTCGTACCTGTGCCCGGCCTGGTGCGGAACAGGTGACCAGGCCAAGGCAGGGGAGAGGGGGTAGGTGTGGAGGGTGACGGATGTCCAGGGGACCGTCACCTAGATCACACCCCTGCCCCACCTTTGGTGGCCCCCAAGAAGCAGACCCTGAGACACAGATTTGGGAGCGAAGGGTTTACATGGGCAAGGGTCCCAGGAAGCTGGTAGGATGAGCAGGAAGGAGGAGGAGCCAGTGCAGGTGCATTATCAAGGCGTTCCTGGGGCTGCTGAGCCGCCATCCCGCTGGGAAACTCTGGGGTAGGTGGGGCGTCCCACTGGGCGGGGGAGGGGGACCGGGGATTCCTCCATTTCCCATCAGCCATTGGTCCAGCTGCTCCCAGGGGACGTGAGCCCCCCAGCACTGCCCAACCACCCCGTGTGCAAGCCAAGTGGGCTCCCGCGGCCTGAGAAAGACTGGTCTTGAACTCCTGATCTCAAGCAATCCTCCCACCTAGGCCTCTGGAAATGCTGGGATTACAGGCGTGAGCCACCGTGCCTGGACTCAGGGGTGCTGGCACTGCCCCAGAGAGTGTGGGGTAAGAGGATGTGAGCCGGGTGCAACACCACGGGCCACATCTGCCTCCTCCCTACCAGGACGGCTCCTTCCTGCCCCCCGGGTCTCTGCGCAGGCGTGACCTTCCCTGGCACCGCACCGCACTTGCCCCTTCGTTACGCGCCATCATGGGGATTCGCATCTTTGTGTGCAATGACGTATTTATGTACTTCACTGCCTGTCTCCCCCACTAGGTCACAAAGCGGTGCCTTTCTTGTTCTCACTGTATCCCTGCACAGCTAGCACCATGCCAGGCTCCTAGTAGGTGCTCAATTAAATACCCTTCAAAGGAATAACTTCTTGCCAACTCCAGCCTGGGAGTTCTGGGTTCTGAGGCTCAGAACTAGAAAGGCTTTTGATAGCCGGGCCTCCGAAATGCTCAGAGGGGAGTGACCTGCCCAAGGTCATGCAACAGGAGTGCCACAGCTGCACTCCTGGGGGGTGGGGAAAAGCCCTGACGCCCCACCCGAACTCCGCCCTCCCGGACCCCACCAGTGGGAGGAAAAGCTCCCGGAGTCCCTGGGGCTCCGCTGGGCTACCCGGGAAATTGCTCTCTGCCAATTCTTGGTAATCTTCTTAGCCTCGTTCCCTCCCCACTTTCCCCAGCTGAAGAGGAAGTGGCTCAGACAGCTGTGGAGCTGGGACTCTCTGGTTGAGATGCATTAATTTGTAAATATCTTCATTTATATGTAAATGCGGAGTCCCAGCCCGCTGCCAGCCCTAACGGGGCTCTGCAGCCTCCCGGGCTCCCTGGTTGGTGGGTGGTAACTCTCCCCATCCCGTTAGATTCTAGGAGGTCTGCTCCTTCCTTCCCTCTCTCTGCGTGTTCAGCAAATAGGACAGCCCCGCGCCCTGGGCTGCTCTCTGCCTGGGAGACCAGCCCTGTGACCAAGCCCCAGGGAGAAGGCTGGGAGCAAAGAGCACTGGCCACGAGTCCTGAGACCCGGGCTTCAGTCGGTGGCGCTCTGTGACCTTGGGCAAGTCTCATGCCTTCTCTGGGCTTTGGCTTCCTCAACTGTAAAATAGGGAAGGCAGCACGGTAGAGGGGTAGAAAGAGATGGTTTGGGGCTTGACCAAGTTCATATCATGACGGGGACCTTAGGGCAAGTCCCTTGGCCTTGTTGAACTCTGACCCCTTTTGGAATAAAACCAGGGCTAGAGAAAATAATAATAATAATAATAATAACACCTGCCTGCCTTCGTGGGGTTGTTTGTGAGGATCGAAAGAGAAAGGATATAAAAAAAGGCTTTATGAGATTTGTTAAAAGGTGAGTTTTTCCGGTTTCGTGTTTTGCGGTGGGGGAAGGAGGGGTCGCTCTAGGTAATAACGGCAAACATGCACCGCTCAGCAGCCCTGCGCCAGCACTTTGCAGGAATTCGCCCGTCGGGTCCTGATGCTGCAGCGAGCTTCTTACTGTTGTCATTCCCGCTTGGGAAATGTACCAGCCCAAGATTTCACTAACGCAAGGAGGTGGAACAGGCAGGATTTGAACTCAGGCACTGGACATAGATTGCACTTAAATTCCGCAGCAATTGTACAAAGCCAAGCCTGTCCAGCCTGCTTTACAGGTGAGGAAACCGAAGCAGAGAGAGAGGTTAAGGCTCTCGTCTAAGATCACTCAGTGGGCAGTGGCGGAGCGGGACTTAAACCCAGGTCGTCTGGCACCAGGGATCGGGAGAGGATGGGGTTCAAGGAGTTGGCCTAGAGACCACACCTGTGGCAGTGGGTGGCTTAGAGGGGACAGAGGGGGGTGAGCGGTAGGAGAGGCTTCTCAGAGACTACGGTGACCAGGCAGGGGTGGCTGGGCAGCACCGGGTTTCCGGGAATCTTGGAGATGATCTGAGAGTTCCCTTGCTACAGAACCATCTGTGGCTTCCAGAATAGTTATTTTCTTCTCCAAAATGAGTTTTTACCTCCTTTTTCATCTTGATGGTACCTGGCTTGTCTTAGGTGTGCTTTAATATTTTAAGGCGCCTCGATTCCTTTCTGGAAGCGGGTCCGGGAGAAAGCGCGACTAGACGGATGGAGCCGTTTGTGAGGCCATTCACCCACCTCTTCAAACACCGCCGCGTCCACCTTCTCAGCACGGACCTGCCACGGCCGGAGAGCGGAGGACCAGCAAGGTCCTCCCGGGAGCACTCCCACCGTCCCGTTCTCACAAAAGCAGGCGGGGAGGACCAGATTCCCCGCGCAGGGCTGGACGCACCCTTTGCAATCTTACTGTCCCATGTTCCAGTTTTACCGTGAGGAAACGGAGGCCCAAAGGGGCCAAGGAGCGGACCGAGAGTCGTGCGCTCATTTTGCAGATTTCACTGTGCACCTACTGTGTGCCGGGCCCTGGGCCGGCAGCTGGGATGTGAAGTGAAGGGGGAGCATCCGCCTTGTCCTCCCGAAGCTCGTGGTCACAGAGAGAGAAACAACCCATGTTGGGGTTGTTGTCGGGGCTCAGAGCGTGAAGACAGCGAGGTACCAGGCGCTGACTGGGATGTCACAGCCCGCGAGTGACGGTGCCTCAGCTCACGCCACGCGGGCACCTCTCAGTGTGCCCAGCACAGCAGGGCCCTCCTGCAGCTTTGGCGTGGACTGCCACTTTCTGGCCCTGTGGTGGGAAAGCATGTGCGCAGAACCGTGCACTTTCAGTGCCGTGAAGCTGCTCCTCACGGACGCAGTGAGGGCCCCTCTTGAGGAGGGGTGGGTACCGGGGGAGTCACAGCCGTCCAGCTTTGGGGGATCAGTTCTGCTGGGGTGAGGGGCCCCATGGGTGGGCCTGCTTGAGTGGGGTTCTGAAGGCTGATGAGGAGTTTACCAGGTGACCAAAGAGAGAAAGGCCCTTCGAGAAGAGGGGACAGCCTGTGTAAGCATCAGAGAAGTGAAATAGGATTGGGGTCTTTTGGGGGTGTGTGTGAGGGGGTGGAGCCGTGGGCACCCACACACCTGGAAAACGGCAGGCCCTGGAGTGGGATCTAATTAGTTTGACTCTGGAAAACAGGGGTAGGGTAGAAATATCAAGTATCTCCGAGCTCGAGGTCTCTTCCCTCCCCATCCTGCTGCTTCTGACCTGGGAGTCCAGGGGTTTGGGGTCATTTTGCTTCCCAAGTTTGGGGCCCTTATGGCCTTGGAGCCCACAGGGAACAGTAGAATGTGTGGCGTGAGCTTCAGAGCCAGGCAGAGCTGCTTCGCCTCCCAGCTCTGTCATTCCAGGCTGTGTGACTTTAGGCACATGGCTTACCCTCTCTGGGCCTCAGTGTCCTCACTTGGGAATGGGGTTTGGAGAGCTCCCCCTGCAGGACTGTTGGAGGAGTTGGCTGAGGAGGCTAGACAGGGAGCTGTGGCCTGACCCCTTCCTGCCTCACGTCCCTCCAGGGGGTGGATCTGGCTTCTGCAAGCAGAGCCCCCAGCTCTGCCTTCCAAGCCCAAGAGCACAGGGATTGACGTGAAGGGCTGGAGACGCGCCCCTCCCAGCCCCTCCCCTGCGTCCTCCTCCCCCCGTCCCCCTACCCGGCCCTGGCCTCACCTCACGGTGGACTGGTACACCAGGTCCTCCCGCTTGCGGTAGTTCTCCATGTGCGAGTAGTTGGTGGAGAACATGGCATCAAAGGTAAAGATCTTCTGCTTGATGGTGCCACCATCCGTCACCTGCCGCAGAGCACAGAGACAGCCACAGGTGAGTGTTCAGCCGGCCCTGGCCACCCCCTTCCCCACTGTCCTGGAGAAGCTCTCGGTCATCACTGGCGCCCTCCCGCGGTGGAGGGGCATCATGCCCACTTTCCTGACGGGCAAACTGAGGCTCTGGAGGGCAGCCACTTCCTGAGGTCCCACAGCCAGGAAGGGGCAGAGCGGGCTCTTCTCCTCAGCCCTTTCCAGGCGCCAGGCGAACCCGCTCCTGCACCTGGGCTGTCTTGCCGAAGTGACCAGAAAGGCTCCAGGAGCTGCGGATAGGGCCGGAGAGTGTGACTGTGCTTTGCAGTCGGTCACGGGGTCACGGCCTGATCCCGAAGCCTTCCTTGGCCCAAGGAGAGAAGGGATGGGGAGCAGACCAGCAAGAAAGAGGACAGGGGAACTGGGGGCCAGGGGACAGTCAGGGGGCGAAGATCTCATGTAGAGGCAAACAAGCCAGATTGCAGTGATTTCAGATATTAATAAATCCTCTGAGGGGCCCAGGGAGGGCGACAGGGAGCCCAGAGGAAGGAGAGCCCCCGTCCTGGGGATAGGGTAGTCACAGAGGGCTTCCTGGAGGAAGTGATGTTTAAGTTGCCCTCTGAAAGAGTAGGGGCCAGCCTGGCAGAAGGTGGGAGCACTTGCCAGGCGGAAGGAGGGACAGCAGGAGCAAAGGCCCTGGCCGAGGCAGAAAGGAGCCCTGTGTGCTCGGGGAAAGTTCCCTGCAGAGCGCCTGAGAAAGGAGGCAGAACGAGGAGACGCTGGGCCGGGCAGAGAACCATGGGCAGATCGCGGAGGGCAGCCAGGCCCGAGGAGCTCCGCTTTCCTGGAGGCACATTCAGGTTCTACTCACAGGCTCCCTCTGGCCTTAGGGTGAGGACAATTCCAGCTGATCCTGCCCCTCTAGAAGTCCGGGGAGCCCCACCGCTGACGTGGGGGTGGAGAAAGGGACCTGCGGACCCTGGCCCTCCCCTGGCTGCCCTCAGGATGGGCCGGGAAGATGCTCGAAGTCCCCAGTTCACACCGGAACACGGAGGCCGGAGAAGGCAGGGCCTGGGGAGGTGATAATACGCCCGGCTACAAGATAAAGGCCACTCAGGCGTCCTGCTGTTCACAACTCGGACCCAAGGGTCCTGGGCTCCCAGCCACCGGCGTCCCACGTCCATGCTGCCTCCGGCTAATGAAAGTGTTACTCCACAGAGCAGCAAGGTATGTGTTGTCACTGTTTCAATTATTTATCTGTTTACTCGGCTGCAGTTTTCCGCTTGTCTCAGCAACTCTATTATAGACCGGGAGCTCGCAGCCTCCTGCCGCTCAGCTGGGCTCCACGCTAACAGCCTGCAACTGGGAGGCCTCATGCCTGGGCCTGGAGAAGTGGAATTAACTCCCTGCAGCTCTGCCTGGCGGAAGCGGGGGCGAGGGGGCTGGGCGAGCGGCGGCCAGGGACCCGTGTCTCGGAGGGGCTGGGCGGGGGGATGCAGCTTCTCCAGGCGAAGGCAGGGATTGGAGCACGGGTCCTTCGCCTGCCTGGGAGGACTGGCCCAGGGCACAGCCGCGCTCCTCTGGGCACCTCTGCACCCAAGCTGACTGGGACCACACCCGTCTAGCCTAAGGGGCGTGGCTACTGATCTAGGGGCCACAGACTCCACGCAATCCGGCCAGCGACCACTGAGTGCCAGCTGTGTGCCAGGCACAGGCTATATCTGTATTGGTCACCCTCCATAGACTGCAAGTGCCATGAAGAATAAGGTGGCCTCTGTCCATGCCAGGGATGGTTAGAATGATGGTAACGTACTCTCAAGCTCCGGGACCCTGAGGGGGATCAGCAGTGGGACTTCCCATTGCACTGTTTCTCCTTCCCTCTGGCTAAGCCCACACCCTCCCGTCTCTCCTAGGGGCTTGTCAACGCTCATGCCATCCCTCGTTTCCCCCTGAGGACTTGGTGCTTCTTGGCCATGTGCGTCTGTGCAGCGGGCAGGCAGGGAGCCACCACCTTTCCCCGGCCCCATCTGCAGAACGGGCCCAGCTCCCGCAACGGGACGACGGTGAGCGTGGAGGAAGAGTATTGGAGAGAGAAGAGGAGGAGGTGGACGCGCTGCCTCCTCTCTCCCAGGGGGACCCGCGCTGGCACCCGCCCCAAGAAAGACCCCTCCCCCAGACACCCCCGGCGTGATTCTGCGTCTGATGTCATAGCCTGGCAGAATGCCCCCCAGCTGACTGTGCCCGGCTTGGCACAGGGCCCGTGGTGGAGAAGAGGCCGTAGGTGGCTTGGCCACTCTTGGGATCAGAGCTTCCATCCCCCGACCTCTCAACGTCCCAGCTGGGGTGGACCCCATGACTCTGCAGGGGCTCCCCCCACACAGCTCCTCCGCCACACCTCCCACCCCTCCTCGTTCACTTGGCCTGGTGGGGCCACCAAAGTACCTTCAAACCAGGGCCTTCAACTGGGGGGACGATATTGCCCACCCTCCCCACCAGGAGACATTTGCGGCTGGGGGCGGGGGGAGTGGCTTTGTCCTGGCACTTAGCCCTGCTGACATCTTACGATGCCCAGGACAGCCCCAGCCCGAGAGAGTTACCTGGCCCCAAATGCCGACGCTGCCTACATTGAGAAACCCTGCTTTAGGCCCGTCCCATTGCGTGGCCCTACAATGTCCCCGGGAAGAAAGCAGAACAGACGCTAATTCTCCCATTTTGTAGATGAAGAAACTGAGGCTGGGAGAGGCAGAGTAACTCGGCGGAGGCCCCACCCGGGTTCTTGGCTCCCGGTCCAGGTTCCCACCCCATCACATCCCACCAGGCCGGACCCAACGCCGCCAGCATCCCCTTCTGCCCCAGGGGCCCAGGCCGCTCAGGACCTTCGAGCAGTTTTCTCGCGAAGTCGCGAAAGCGGAAGGCGTCCCACCGGCTCGCTCCTTCAAGCACAGCCTGTCTCCGGGCCTCGCCTCCCTTCAGGGGCTGCTTTTTTTATCTCCTCCTAAAACGCGGCAGCCCTTAGCGTCCCAATCTCAAATTTCACTCCATTTTTTTTATTACACAAAAGAGAAAAAAATCTGTCAGTAAAACTGTCTCCTCAAATTTATTCGCCGAGACTGAGGGTTTTACTACTAGGAAAATACACCCGCAGCCCACACGCTCACACGCGCACCCACACACCCCAGATAAGGCGCTGAAGAATTGGCCACGTCATAAATCCCCGTTTCAGGCTGGGAGACGGGGGGTTTCAAGGACGAGCCTGGTTCTCCTTCACGTCTTTTTCTCCGGGCCGTGTCAGGGGCCGTGCCGTCCGCCTGGGGAGTAAATAACTGCTTCTCATAGACCTGCCTCGGGCAGCGGGAGACGTGCTTATCTCAGCTCCGGGGCAGGGATGGGGAGGACAGGCCCCCGGCCCAGGTCGCCGTAGCCGTACCCAGCCTCCCTCGGCCTCGGCAAAGTAGAGGAGCAGGGATGCGCGGCAGGCCCGGGTCGCAGGCCAGTGGGCGAGCCGCTATCTGCAGGTCAGTCGTTCCGAGGTTCCCGGTGGTTAGAGGATCCGAGACAGAGGCTGGGTGGGAGTGGGGAGGTGATCGCGAGCTGTGGGCAGAAGGTGCGGCGGCTGTGCCGAAGACACCTTCCCTTTAATTCTAGAAACATTTCCCCGGGCCTGAGGCATGCAGGCACCATTCCAGGCCCCATGGGAGAGAAAGAAAGAAATTTCAGACATAGTTGCAGCCTATCCACGTCTGGCAGGAGAGGCATATAGCCCACCATCAGCTGAGAGACCAGAGGCAGTTAAGAAAATGGCCACAGCAACAGGTGTTCCCCAAGTGTTATCCAATGAGGCTCTGACGCTTGTGTAGGAGCCAAGAATTCCTTTGGATGGAGGGGTGATCGTGGAAGGCTTTCTGGAGGAGGTGGGCTCTTTTCAGGGAATGCTTAGTCCTACCCGGCTCTTCCTGCCTCTGGGAGGCTTTTGTGCATGAAGCGAGACTGATTTCCTCTACCTCTAGTTGCAGTCTTCATTTCTGTTACTACCTTTGTACTCTTGAAGAACTCATTTCACCTCTCCTGGCGTCAGTTTCCCCATCTGTGAAATGGGGATAGTGCAGTGCGCCTCCTCGTGAGGAGCAAACGCGATGGGGCTTGCTCAGAGGACCTGTGCGTGGCGAGCACTCCAAAGCACTAACTCGTTTCTGGGCTACGTCTTTTCCTGGATCCCTCCACACCCTCTAGGCCTGAGCTAGAGAGCAGACACTGTTTCTTGCTAAAAAGCCAGGGAGGGCAGAAAATCAATACGTGAAAGAAGGGGGTCCATGCCCAGAGAGGGAGGCAGGTGGGAGGTGCCAGAAGGCTGGATGGTGTCTGTAAGGAGCAGAAGGGCAAGCAGGGCCTGGGAACTTGCCAGTAGCTGCTATGACAGGGATGCTCTGAGCAAGCACTCGGTCACCGTCAAAGGCACTCAGGGATGGAACGGTATGTTTACAGTGGGTAGTGATCTCCCTGTCACCAGAGGCATGTAAGTGACAGTTAGATAATGCTTGGTAGAGAGCCAACGAAACTAGACAGAGTTTGTGTCTAACTCTGTGAGGTTCTGTCTCTCTGTGTTCATCTGGGCTATTAGGACATCTTCTCACAACATTTTAGCTTCTCTTGGGCCTGCTGCCCAAAGTCAACTCCATCCCCGCTTCAGGGGCTCGGAGAGGTTCTCAGGGCGCCACGGCGGGCAGGGCCTGCCAGGCCAGGGCAGACAGATAACCGCAAAGCTGACAGGGCAGACCAGGTTCTGTCTTGGGAAGCCGCACCCAGAGGACATGTGGGTTTTCCCTCTCCCAGAGACAGAGGTGCTTCTGCAATGAATGACTTCATTCATTCGTATTCAACAGATTTTTATTGAACAAATAAATAGGCTCTTGAATGTGAGCTACTCCTAGAACACAAGCTCTACGAGGGCAGGTCTTTATCTGTCCTGTCCTTTGTCCTGCCCTGGAGTTCAGCACGTA